TTTTTTCTTTTTTCTTTTCTTCAGAAATAGGATATGCCTTTTCCCTCCATTTTTTCTTTTTCTCTTTTTTTTTTTCTTGGCATATCTTTCTTATATTCTGGAATCACTTTTTGGAATAGTCTACTGGAAATTTTTATTTTCTCCCCAATTTTTCTAATACATTTACTTTAAAATTCCAAGCTAGGATTTTTGAGATTCTTGTTAATGGAAATGTGACAAAATATGCACTCTTTATTTAATTATACAGTGTGTTTGATTTCTCTCGCTCCATTGAAGTTTAACAATTGTGTTTTTTTTACTTCCATGGCTTCTCCATTGTTGACAGCTTGTTTTCGCATTTTTGTGATTGGAGTCTCACATTTTCATTTTATTTTATTTTTGTTTCCCCCCCGACCTGTTATCAGTACATTGTGTAAGATAAGAATAAAAACAAAATTGCAAAACACAAAAATAAATGTTCACACAGAGACTGAATATTATTTTAATTTTTGGATTTATGGACGGTTAATTTTATATATATATATATATATTTTTGTCGATTGCTCATGCATTTATGCGTTATACTATCACTAAATCGCCTGCTACTTTGGTGATGATGTTGTCAAAGTTTCCAGTTGGAAGAATGTATCATATATAGTTCATACTATAATTTACCTCAATTTCCTTTGCTACCTCAAATATCTAATTCACATTGTTTTGGTCGATATTATCCACAACGGTTGATGGATCCTTCTCCTTTCTGTTTGTTATTCGTTGTTTTACTCGCAGATATTTGCTTAAAGGGCGTTGAATAATACCCTAGTTAATGTTCATACTTTATGGTTTAAATATCTATCACAATATTTTTAACCACTTCTTTTCTAGTTGGTACAACCTCTGCTACGAAAGTAGCCATGTAAACGCTTCTTTTTCTTTTTGGTTACATTATTACATTTTAAAAAATCATTAGGTCGTTTGAAATTATTCCATCCATATTTTTTTTTTAATCCGGTTGATTTTTCTCTCGGAAATTATTCATTCATGGATTGATTCGAGTTCAAATACTTATTTAAAGGAGGATAAACTCTTTTTATCGCCTGATTTCATCAATTGTTGTGCAATTTTAAAGAACCATTTCCTCAGTTTTGAAGGTAATTAATGAAAACAATCGACAATCTCTATGTTAAATTCTCTCTTTCATGAATTTAAATTTTTATTGAACTGCAAATAGTAGAATAGTTCGAGTTGCAATCTAACCGAATGGACACTTTCTGGTCGATCTATGTGATGGATGGCATAGTATTGCAAAATCTTTTTCTCTTAACGTAAGACAAAGGTACTTTTAAAGTCGATTATCATCAACATCTATAATACTTAATTAAAATAGCAAACAAAAAGGACATGTGTCAATATCATAATGAAAATTTTCCCGCCAAAAGTTATTTTCAGTACAAAATCATTTTTGACACGTGACACTCTAAATAATTAGAAAAAAAAGATGGAATAGATAAATACATAAATTCCTTAATTATAGCTATATAAAAATCTCTTAATTATAGGTATATACTAATCCCTTAAAACAATAATATTTAATTGATAAAATCAAATGTAAGGAAATTCTCTTAAATCAAATGAAACACCGGTAATGTCTTCCCAATCCCCAATTTCAAAAGATCTCTTCCATTCCGCTCCTCTCTCAAACCCGGGCCTTTAAATTAATTATTTAAAATCTGACATCAATTATCAATCCATCTCTTTCTACAATAGAGAAAAAATAAGCTGTCATGAAAGAAATTTGATTTTTTAAGGATGATTTTTTTTTATTCTTCTGTTGTAGATATTGGTTTATGATTTATGTAAACTCAGGCATAAGTTAACTGTTGTAAATTAAATGTTGTAAATCTGGGCATAAATTTATGTGTAATAACTCACTTCCTGTTCTTTCAATCGATTTTTTTATTCTTCTATTTTTTTTATTCTTTTAAAAATGATTCGTATTTTTTATTTAATCGATTTAAAAATACAGGCGGTACCCTGGGCATTCGCCCGGGACAAGCATCTAGTTATATATAATTGCAAAATATTTTCTTTGTTTTGGTAGTCCTTCCCATTTGGATTGCATTTAATTTTTATCAAACATCAAAATTTGATAATAAATAGGAAAATGATGTTGTAATTTAATTGCCCTTTCTCATCTCGTGAGAAACTCAAAAGTTCTTAATTTCTTGTTTGATATTTTAAAAAAAAAACCTCCACTAACTACTTAAAACTGAAGCAATTTTGCTTATCTATACAATTTTTTGGTTTCTCATCTTCCTTATGATCCTCTTCCATCATGTTTCTTCCAAATCAATTAAGAACCAATTTATAAATTAATTAATTACCTTTAATCGTTTCACCCTTTCGTTCGTTTTGAGGGGTTTGTAAGTGCAACACCACCACTTTATTATAAATTGAAACTCCCAAATGGTACATATTGTGTTCTTCTTGTTAGTTCTAATAGTTCTACTCCTCTTTCAAATTGCTGAACACATCAGAACTAACGTTGCATTATCATTCCAACAAAGAGATGATATGTATTCTTTGACCATTGAAAACTAAATTGGCACTCTTTTTTTCTTTCTTATGGTGAGATGCAACTCCTACAAGTACTTCAAAAATTTGTCAATCCACGTCTTCCAGCAAAAATTATATATAGATTTATTTGCTTTTTTTCCGTTTGCTTATTTTCCAATTCTCTGATTCTTACAGGGAAATAGGAGACAGCTTGCCAAAAACTTACGAAGTACAAAATTTTAGACCAAGTTCATATATTGAACCCATCCGCGAAGCATAGAGTACCGAACTACCAATACCAAGAATGATGGCTCGATAAGTGGCTTCAAAATACAATTATGAACGCATGGTATTTCAATTTAGTTTCAATAGTATATCTCTATAGTATATCTATTTACAAGAAACTATTGACTCTCTAAGAAAGCCCTAGCCCCTAAGTAAAAATCATTTATGCATTTTTTGATGATTTTGTCTTCATTATGAATTTTCTAACTCTTTTATAAGTATTTCGCGTTCTAATTTTTTTTTTTTTGGTCTAATTGGAAATGAGTTATAGATTGAAGTTTTGAAGAGTTCTTATAAGTTCTATTGTTTGTAAATTTGATTTATTTTGTGATTTTCTTAATATAAAGTGTTTAGAGAAATGTATACTTAATTTCTGATGTCTTGTTGATTAATTTATTTAGACACATGATTGTTAAATTAGTTTAACTATGCTTTCTCTCTGATTTTACATATAAATTTCTCTAAGGGTGTAGAATTTTCTTCAAAATTATACTTCTACAATGTATGTTACTTCTAATTAAGTAAATTTATTTTTCCCTTTTGATTCATATTGAGTGACATTTTATTATTACAAGCACGCGCGAAGCGCGTGTGGTTCCTCTAATAAATTTGTAAATGCAGAATTCAGGTCTTTAGTAATTCATAATCTTTTTTCCCCTCCTAATGACAATTAAAAAATCTCAAACAAATGTTAGCCTGTTTACTTGGAAGTGTCAATTATCTCATGAACATCAAATTGATAGTACGTATGGACTATGGAGTCAATTTGAATAGATGGGGGACATGAAAAATAAGGGGGGTGAAATTATCTCCAAGAAGATTGGACACGATTTTTGCTAGGAAAGGCTACCAAGGAAATATTAAGGAGACGCTAATTAAAACACGCCCACGTTTCTGACACCATTAACACTACTTTGGAAAATAAAAGGATGGTTAACTCGGAAACGGAAATGGTTTCAGTTTTGGAAGTATGCAAAACTAACGGTGGAAGATGGCCATCACGTGTTAGTGTTGATGATATTCCGATCCGATGACAATGACTGGGCCGGGGGGCCGCCGACCTTGTCAGTTTATATCCATCGGAAGTCACGTTACTACGAAAAAAGAAAGATCTTGGAGATGGATGTTGGACCCGTATTTTTCACGAAAGGGGGCTTGAATTCATTTTGAATAGTACATGAAGTCCCAGAAAGCGTATGAAAAGATTTTGGGAACAATTTCCATGTGTTGAATGGCATATTCTCTTTGTTGGCCTGTCACACCCCCCATCATTTTACATAACCCTTGAATCCGACATCTTTGTTCGTATTCTGCTAGTCGGTATCCCCACAATTTCGCCGTATTTTCCTGCCTTTTTTTTTTTTCCGATTATGTTAAATTTTTAGCATCCCCACAATTTGCATGATGTAAAAAATTTTCGGCAGGAGGTGGTCCGGTAGCAGGCAGCGTCGGTGGAGGTGTGGAGGTGAATGTAAAAATAATACTCTCCCTGTCTTAAAATTATTGTCCAGTTTGAGATTTCATTTTTAGTACAATTTGAACTAGAATTGAAAATCCAAACTGGGATAATAATTATGGGACGGAGGGAGTATTATTTTATTTGAATTTCTATCCCAACAACTTTTTGAATTTTCACTAAAATCACATTTTAAATTATATCTCCAATTCAAACTATAAATTAAAATAATCATTTTTTATCCGGATTTTCGCCCCCTCAAATTTATTCCCTTTGAGCCCACTGGATTTTTTACTTCGACCGAATAAAAAATTGGTAGGTGAAAATTCGGATAAAAAATTTAGTTTGCTTTTTCTTTTTAAACAAAAAATCGAATTTTGAATTAGTTACTGTAGCGCGGTAAAATTTTTGAGTGGTATGGAGTTAAAAATAGAACGTAATTAATATTTATTTTGTATCCAGCATAAATGATAAATAGAAAAAGAAATTTTTAAAAAATAATGTAAGTTTTAAATTTTATAATAATATTTTAAATTAATGAATAATATTTTAGCAATTAAATAATTAGATGTAAATTTTATGATATTTTTAATGATTAAATTTCAATGAAAGTTCAAATTAAGTCAAAAGACAAAAAAACCCCTAATTCTGGCAAGTCAACTACCGGTCAACATCGAGTTGGACGGAAAAGTGGCCGAAACAGTGAAATAAGACCAAAAAAGTGTGAAAATATAATGTTTGAGACTACGATATTGAAATGTTAATATTAGAGACGTAAAATCAAGTAAGCCCAAATGTAAGGGACCATGTGAACATTTTAGTCCGTATAAATGTATAGTGTACATAGCCTTCTAGGACTAACCTAGAAATCCAAATGGAGACCTTCACGTATATACTACCATGGAGGGCATGGACATGCAATGTTGCCCGAAAGAACTTTAACGCGGCTAACATTTTCCATGACATTGATACCTCGTCAGCAATGCTTTGCCCGTTGGTTTCCACTTTCCAGAAGTTGGGCATTTTCTGGGTTTGGTTTAAGGAAATTACCAAAGCTAACCAAATCTCTCTACACTCGATCTTTAACCCAAAGGCCGAGAAAGGTATCAAATCTCTTTCAATTCTTTAAACTTTGATCTAGCACTATGTGCTGGTCATTTTTATTTATTTATTTTTTACTGGTCATCAACAAAAAAGAAAAATCTACCTCAGAGCTTTTTTTTTTTTTTTTGGTGTGGGTGAAGAACTTAATTAAAGGCTAACGGTAACGATTACATCTAGATAAACCCTTGCATTCGTTCTCCAGTAGCCTTCGATCAAAAGAGATGTTGGATGTGTCATTTGACTACAGTCACTACACCTTCAATTGATATGCACCGCATTCTGAGATTGATTGAAGGTGATTCCTGAGCATCCTCGTTGTCGTTGGTGCATGTAACTCAGAATATCTACTTCCGTTGTAATTAGTAAGTGGATTAGTGGAGGACTCCCTCCCAGTACAAAATGTTACTACTAAGTATACTAAAAGCTAATTCCGTATTGTTAGATTTTTTACTTGGCAAAACCCCAATGTAAAACTGTTAATTCCTTTGGTGGATGCTACAGCAATGAGCAGTATAGTCACTTTATCCTGCTCCTCGTGCACTCTTTTCATTGCTAAAACTACGAATTTCATTTGAAAGGTTTGTTCCTATCAGTTATGCTGAAATAATACACTGAATTACGGATTGCTGCCATCTTTTTCGTTTCTGTTCTCTGACCTTGGTTACTCCAAATCCTTGCTAATTTTTCCGGAAATCGTTATCAAGAAAGCACTTTGGTCCATAAACTTCTGCCATGCCTAAAAACTAGTTTTGAATTACCCAGACAGAAGCGATAGTGTTGGTTTCACAGATTCAAAGCATTTTAGTTTATCAACACTTCCGCTCCATCTAATGTTAAGTCAATTTGGCAATCTACTTCTAGTTAAACAAAGTGACTTCCACAGAAAAGACAACAAACTTTTGGCTCTCAAGATATCGAAATAAAAGAGTATAAATGCACTCTTTGCAAACCTGTCATCCAAGTATTATCACAGAAATGTGTAAGTTTAGCAAAAGTTGTACTACAAACAATTACCAAAATCACAGTTCATGATTCCTTGCCATTTGGGTGCAGAAACTTTCGATAAGCAATTGAACAGAAGAATCTAACTAGAAAGAAAAAGGTCCCACAGACCCAACAAGAATGATGCAGAAGAAGCATAAAATGTGGTTTTCAGAATCTCATTAGTTGCAGTTGGTGAGGTTTTTCCACCCACAAAATGTGCCAGATATTATTCATCACACGGAATTTCAAAACCATTAAACTAAGAGAGCAGAGGAAATATCAAACTTATGGAAGAGTCCGCTGATAAAGAGGCAAAGCTCCCAGAGCCTCACGCTCTGCTCTCTCTTTCTTCACCTGCCGAAGCAAAACATTCCAGATCAATGAGTTTCTGAGCGAATTACAGCATTGCTGGATACTTAAGCATGAAAGACACAAATGTATTAAAGGCATTATCAAATCATATTACACAAATTCGTTCTTCCGGTCATATCTACAAACACTTATGATTTTCAATCACTTATATCATCCAGGCATGCTTAGCTGTCATTTCGGGGCTAGAAAGAAGAAAAACATGCACCACCGAACTTTTTAAGTTCAGAAATCACCAACACCATCCCTGTTTGGTAAAAGAATACCAGAATTCAAGCTGAAGTTGGTATTAGAGCGCAAATCACGGACCTTTAGGATTTTAGCATGGAGAACTAAAACTGCAAAGTAGCTACTACCACTATGTTAGATGAAACTACTCAACGGCAACGTTGGAATGACACTACTGCACGGTGAGCCACTTGACCTTATACGTGAACAGTACAATATATATTATAACAAAAACTTATGATTTTCAATCACTTATATCATCCAGGCATGCTTAGCTGTCATTTCGGGGCTAGAAAGAAGAAAAACATGCACCACCGAACTTTTCAAGTTCAGAAATCACCAACACCATCCCTGTTTGGTAAAAGAATACCAGAATTCAAGCTGAAGTTGTTATTAACAAGTCTTCAATCTTGACAAGATAATCTGAAATTGATCTTTCTTTTGTGCATTTTAATTAAATACATAGTATATCCTAAATAACTTTGCAGCAAATAAGAGAAGGTGCCCGAGTACTTCAACTAAGAGTCTGTGATCACAGTAAAGATCAGTTTATTCAATAACCATAGGTTTTAGTCTTTTTGAATCAAAATCAAATCAAGGGTTTTAGACAATTTCGATTTTAGTTCCATTTCAAAATAAATAAAAGTTTTAGTTGAAATTAGCTGATGTCAAATATTGTTGACAGAGATATTGAAGAGAAAACAAGAAGAGAAGAGCATAAACACAACCACCCTAGTTAGGTAATCGGCAATGTACATAGGACAAAGATCCTTCATATGGGAAGCATGTGCTCTGGATACAAAACAGAGGACTCTGACCTTGTTTGTACAATTGCCTTAAATTCTTTGACCAACAATGACTTGCACATAAGGAGAAAATATTTAAAGCACGTCAATCTCTTCTCAAAGTTTTATCCAGTAACTGGCTGAGACAGCCCTAAAAAGAGCAACTAAAAAACCATACTCAACATGATGCCCACTAAAGTTGTGATTGCAAAAAGCTTCAGTCTCAATCCAACAAAATGGTGACAACATCTGGACTAGGCTTCGACAAGCTTTAAATCCTGTACTACCAGTAACTGAAATTCATTACTCCACTATCTTTATTTTCTTTCAGCAGCTGAGATGCATTCCCTCATTATCCATCTACATCTACCTATACATATATTGCAAGCACTGGTTTTACCACATTAACCATTTCAGTTCTTTCTGCACAGGTTTTATCACATTAACCGTTGCACTCTTTCCTGTTCCCTTCAAGTATATACTGTGAGCTGAATAACAATATATACTAAGAGCTTAAAAACATAAAACACAGAAAAATATCCCAGTAGGTGTAAAAGTTAATGCAATCTGGCCAAGCTGTTCCAGCTGACAATGAACTTATGTAATTGAACGGTAGGAATTGATTTGCTTTCACAAAGAAAAATACAAGCACCGGAGTTGCATCAAATAAACCACGGAATTAGATAACAAGCGCCAAAAACATAATAGAAACAACAAAAACCCAAATCTTCCCAGTGAATAGTGAGTACTAACCAGTTGCAGCATATCTTTCAGATAGCTCCTAAATGGGGTCTGCTGGGCCTGCCACAAAATCAATAAACTTCAATTTCAATAAACCATCAAAGCAAAAAACTATAACTGGGAATCCAAACCAAATCAATAAAAAAAAATTTTAAAAAGAAGATCAAGCATACCTGTAGTTCGTCGGAAAGGTACTGATGTTTCATTGAGAGATCCATGGCCCGCAAGATGCGCTGGTGGCGAGCATCCACGATTTCACGAGGAAGGCGATTTAGGGCTTCTTTGATGTCCACGTCTTCCATCGGATCATACAGATCTTCAAACCGCAACCCTATTCATGTTTCATTCCAAACATCTCAATCAAACCGATTGACAGCAATTCCAATAACAACAGATAAGATTTGGAACCCTAAAATGGATTTGGGGAAAAAAAAAAACAAACCGTATCTGCGAAGGCGAGTAGACACGGAATTCTTGTGCATAGCGGCGAGAGGATTTTGGGCCGGATTCAGAATCCATTTCGCCAAAGCCGACGATTTCGCCATCGTTTTCCAATACCTTTCTTCCTTAGCTGCTGGCTAATGCGTGAAAATGCTTCAATCTATTCCGCAGCTGAACTCCCGAGCTTCTACTTGTTTGTGGGTCGCGGGCCGTTCATGTTCTGGGGTTTTGGGTGTGATTGGGCCTTCACCCAATCCCAGATATTTTTGGATTGATTGAGGCCCACTAATGGAATCAGTACTAAGCTTTGTGGCAGTTCTTTTAGGCGGAAAATGATACCGAATTGTTTAGTGCGTTAAAACTTTCAATCTCGACAGATTTATTTTTCATGGTAAAACAACAATTATATTTTTTCCGTTAAATTAATATTATTGTTCTCAATCTTAAGTATACTGAACCGAGTATCTTTTAAAAATACTGCAAGGTGTTCCAACAACATAGGTACGAAATATTATCAAGACTGTTTATTGTAGAAAACGCTTTAACCTCGTGTATTTTGACATTTTGATGCCATCATCCGCCGCTTTGAACACCGGAAAACAAGGAGAGTTTTCACGTGAATGAGCCCTTCGCATGATGTAATGATCGGTCGTTTTGCCTCTTTATGTTTCAATGCGTTAAGAAATTTCTACATTCTTTTTTATCCAATAAAATGGGTAGTTTTTTTTTTTTTTGAAAATTTATTTGGGTATTTTAAAGAAGGGAGAGGGAATGAAAAATGTTAAAAGTCCTAAGAACAATTCTAGTGGGGATTTTTCTTCTTTCCTCTTTTTTTTTTTTCAATGTTTTCCGTTCTAATCAACATTTAAATATAAAGATGCATACACATGGTCACCTAAATTTATGTCGACCATTACAATAAAAACCGAGTTAGATTTTTTTTTTTTCTAAAAGAAGGAAAAAGAAGTAAAGTAAAATCGTAAGGTTAATGATAGAAGACTCTTACTGTAAGTGTTTTATATAATTTGTAGAATCGGCGAATATAACTGAGTTGTATATACAGTATACCTTGCATTCATTTTTCATTGAAATATGTTCTAACTGGTTGGAGAACTCTCCAAAATTATCATTACTTGGCTTAAAAAAATAGTCTATATTTAATTTTTATATTCGTACTAATTTTATTACAAATTTCAACGCTCAATCCGGTGAGTATGAATTTTTTTTTTTTTTTTTGAAAGAGGAAGATTTGGTTATTATTACTTAATTCACTGATATGTGCGCATTCCTGTTTGAATTTTAACAATTTTCTTTATAAAAAAATTAAGAGTAATGTGATAGTACTTTTATCAGGGCTCAATTGTAACATTTACCAATTGGATTATGTTTGATAATATGCGCTGAATTAAGAAGTTTATATCAGGATTTACAACTTGTTTGGGACCCTGATTAAAGTTATAGGCAAAATGGTGGTGGACATCGACAATGAAAGTATTGTAACATTGACAAGACCCAAATGTATTTGTCGACATACACGATAGTATAAATTAGGCTATTAAGGATCTGAGTTGGAGTATAAAACGTGAATTTACAGCAAAATATTTGTGGGATGTTTCTTGGTTTCTTGACACCTTAAGTTGGGTTTCCACTGGCGCGGAACCGATTACATATGCATGGGATCTTTTGTGGATTGGTATTAAGCCGCAGCGGAAACTTTTTACTTTTACCCCCGTATTTTAGCCATGGCCTATTTATTCATTGGTACAACCTCGAAGGGGGAAAAGGGTCCATAAATTGAGCAAATCAACATTCAACACCATTGGATGGACCGTTTTGTTCCCTGGTTTTGAATCTGGAAATCTATTCCACCACCATTCACGTGGCTAAGTAAGTGTTAGGAAAATGTAGACCAAACAAGTAAGAACAAAGGAGTCCCTTCCCAGTCTAGCTAGACGACGAAAGAACCCTAGCCAGCATTTTTCTAAATGAAAAATCTTTAACAAAAGGAAGATTAAGAATATTAGACTATGAATTCATTTTAATACTAATCCACTTTAGCTAATCACATTGTTTTGACTAAAATAATTAAGCGAGACTATCATGATAAAGACGGAATGAGTACATTGAAATGTTGCATGAAAACTGTTCAAACGCCTCCGCGGTTGCGCAGGAGGAAGGCCGAATGAAAGAGATGAAGGCTTGAAGCAAAAGCCAAAAAGACGTTTGGTTTGGAGTTTTTGGGCCCCTTTTCCACTAGGTAGGTCGTCAACTTGTTCACTTCTCTTCCAAAAAATCAAAAGTCAAAACATTGACCCAAAAACAATACTACTACTATAACTGTGGTGGGGACGGAAACACCAAAAAGATCACCCAAATTCAGCCGATCGCTTGCCCTTTCGGTAGACTCACGTGTGTTTGCTCATTAGTCAGAACTCAGCCAGTGATAACGGAAAACGATAACCGTTGGCGGCCCCCTACTAAAGTAGTAGTAGTAGTAGTAGTCATTTGATTCCCGTGAACAGATTTTAAAGTTTTTTCAAACTATATAATTGATGATGTAAAACAACATATTCACAATAGCTTAATTATATAATTAGTAGTAGTGCTACTGCTAGCACAGGAATCATCCTAGTGTTGATGCATGGGTTAAGTTGGAATTAATTGGATGACTGATTGTTTGAGATCAAACGGTGGTGCTTTCATTTTTTTTTTTTTTTTGGATGGAATCAGCCTCAACGCGCGAAACACAACACTTCATCACAAAACTTTAGTTCTCATCAATGTTTGCAACACAGAAATAAGGATTTCTTTTCAACAATCCAGAAAATAATGTAATAAAAACATCACACTTTTCTGTTATAAAACGGGGATGAAAAATGCTAATAATATCATGTTCCAATCGCGAGGAAGTTTACAACAGTTGTAAAAAAAATCCCAACCTTGACTAAAGCTTTGTCTTCTTTACAGCAATAGTGTATTTTGAATTGGAGTCTTCCACAAGACCGTTGAGAAGTAAAAGGTTTTTTTTTTTTTTTTGGTTTAATTTCTACAACAATTATTTTTTTATATATATAAAAACCAACAGAATCATAGGAGAAACGTGAGAGATTTGGGGAGGAAATCTTGGAAAAGTGAGGACGAGCACTGGATCTATCGTAAAGCAATATTCTCTCGATGACCCCATATAGGGAACCGAATTAGGATTAAAACTCATTATTAATTACGTGAATGATTAATGTTCATGCAAAGATTTTTCTTCTCTTCATCTTCAAACTGCCATAATAGTAAGAAAAAGAACGAAGGCATAACTTCATTTAAAGCACGCCTGTGTGGGAGCTAGCTAGGGTTGGTGGAAAGAAAGAAGACGAGTTTAATTCATTAGTGGAATGGTATAATTTTAGGAATATTTTACTTTAACTAATTTTGCATGTGAAGGCAGCTGAACACTAACCCAGATGAACCTGGACTAGTGTAATTATTATGCATGTTTGAAATTTGGAAAAAGCATTTTCACCCAACCGAAGCATCAGGCATCTTTCCTTTTAAGACTTTCAAGTGTTCATTATCTATCAAGAAATGACAGAATTAGTTTCTTATTCTTGACCAAGATAGATTTTTATAGGCAAAAATATCTTCAAAATGTCCTGTTCATAATTTTTACATGTACGCATTAATTTAATTTGGACAAAATACTATGGTTGTCAGTTGTCACCCCAAGAAAAGTTATTCGAGTCAGGTAGGTCCCTTTTGGGAGACAAATCTCTCTTAAAAAATATTTTAATTACTACTATATACTCATGTGCGGGTTCGAAATAATCGTAAATATTATTTTGACTTCATTAATCGTAAATAATGGTTCACCGTTAATTAATTATAATACAAGATCCATGTTTTCTACCCATGAAATATACGTGTATGATGTTTCTTTACACTTTGTTGTACCAAAAAAAAAAAAAAACAGTATTAAGAAACCTACGTTCCAACACCAATTATTCAAACAAGTCTTTTCTTATTTCAAAAGTATGATACCAAGTTATCAACCGCCAAGGATTCTGTGGAGCTCAAAGTGATGATTTGTTTTAACATTGTCTAATCGACCTTTGCTCTCTCGACACGTAAATCACATTTTATAACAGTACTGCCGACTGAAGTTAGTCTAATTACTTAGAAATAATCATGTCACTTAAAAAAACAGTGATTATAATTATGTTTTTCCCCGTTCTTTTTCCCCACATTCAATGGCAGTGGCAAACCGGCAAAGCAAAAGGAATGAATTAATTGTTTAATGGTTCTATGACTAACTAACCTAGATTTAGGATGCATAATTGAATTATACTCTGTACATGCTTTTGGCGAGATTGTTCAAGTTCAAGTTCCTCGTTTGCTGCTTTCTTGAGATTTCATGGCTCAAAAATCAGGAATATTGGACGATCGCGTTCCGTTCACAAATGATGCTGCTGTTTGTCTTTTTTAGTTTCATCGGATGGGTTCGCTCAATCAAAAAAAAAAAAAAATTAAATAAATAAAAGAAAATAAAGACTAATTATTTTGTGACAGATTTTTTGTCCTCATATGTTATTTTGTGTTCAAATGAATTACAATAGTTCGATAATTCATCATTAACTAAAATGTGTTCCTTAGTTTTAGTATAACGTTGCAGGAGTATTTTTTTTAAAAAAACCGTTGCAGGAGTATTTTATTATCGCAACGTAATTGTGTAGTATACCTGGCTTATTGAAACGATTGTTGTGTGATTTGTCCCTGAGATTTAGGGCTGCTAATTCGGTCGGTTCAGCTCGATTCAGGTAAATTCGGTTCAAATTCATCTGTTTTTTTAATTCACTTCACCCCCCAAAACCGAGCCGATATTCTACCTCCCCGAACCGACCAAGCCGATTAAACATATGGGAGACTTGGATCGGAGGCCGTTTAAATCGAACAAAGAGCCCAAATTCAATTAGGCCAATTTTTTTTTTTTTTTTTTTTTGAATTTCAAATCCTAATTATTGAACTATGAAATAGAAATCACAAGTTCAAAACACAAAAATGCAAAAATTGATAATGAGAGGATTTCAAAAAAAAATCACAACACCCAAATGGAATGAAAATATTATGAATATGTAATGGTCACAATCCAGAAGTCACAACTCAAATGATCACACAAATGAACAGTGATAATCTACTCAACTGATCAACTCATTGAACTCACAAATTATCAACTTCAAGTTCACAACACACAAATAATCACAAATAGAAATGATTATTACAGTATTACACATCACAAAGTCTAGTAATCAAATTTGAATTCAGAACATTCTGAACAGAAAATATAAAAGCAGCATCAACAAAGATACAGAAAAGAATTGCAGGCAACAACAGTTCAGTTGATCAGTTCAATCTTCATTTAGTCTTCATTCTTCAACAGCAACAGCAATCAAATTTGAATTCAGAACATTCTGAAAAGAAAGTATCAAAGCAGCATCAACAAAGATACATAAAAGAATTGCAGGCAACAACAGTTCAGTTGATCAGTTCAGTCTTCATTTAGTCTTCATTCTTCAACAGCAACAGCAAACAGGCAACATCAACAACATCACTCTTCATTCAGCAACAACATCACAGTTCAGTTGATCAGTTCAACTTCAAGTAGGCAGTAGCAACAGCAAAAGGCAACATGCAACACCAACAGCAACTTTCAGAAAAAAGAAACAATCAGTCAGTCAGCAAAATTGAAGAACATGGAAGAAGAAAACCGAAGTAAAGTCTAGATTTTAGAACGTGCCTATCACACTCCAGTTTTCTTTCCTTTTTCAGCAAGTGAAAAAAATGAACAGTCAGTCAACATTCAACTGAAAATAAACAGATGAATTAAAATCATGCATATATTTGAAATTTAAAACAAATGTAACCTTCTTCCATGCGAAGGAGGTCTTCCCAACTCTCTTCAACACCTTCTTCTTCAACTTCCCCTCGAAGCCAATCCTGAGTGCAAATCAAGCACTGAACAGTCTTCGGAGTTGAAAAACTCCTAAATGCATCCAACACCCTGTCACTTGTGCTAAAACATGATTCTGAAGCCACAGTTGAGACAGGAATGGCAAAAAGATCACGAATCATCAGAGAAATGATAGGAAACCTAGGGTTGTTCACCTTCAACTAGTTCAATAGATCAAAATTTGGACAATCTGGTTCATCATCCTCGTTCAAATACTTGTTCAATTCTAATTTTTCATTTCTTTTTAAAGCCCGACCAGCTTGTTCAACTTTCTTCTTCGCCAAATTCAGCCTAAACTGATCTCTAAGCAGCTTTGAAGGCTCGATATCAATCGGGGAAGGTCGTTTCCCCGATAAAGTTGTTTGAGATGAACTGGAATCAGAATTGGAAGGCGTACTAGAACTAGGTTTAGGGGCATGGATTCTCACATAATCCGCAAACAACTCATAAATGGCGGTTTTAACAAATTCATATTTATTTTTTCCATCCACTAACCCATAGACCTGTTGAAATGCAACTTCAATGTATTTCAACTTATTTCATGGATCAAAAACACATGCCATCAATACAACAAGATTCATATTCGGAATAGAACCATAGTATTTATCAAACTTATTCTTCATCCTTTCAGTCATCATTTTTTGACCATTATCATCAGTTTCATTAATGATTTTCCTCAACAAAACATCAATGCAATGAAGATCAGTGAAGAAAGCATCCGAAGAGACAGATTTTGTACGAGATACCTTAACCTCGTAAAAATGCTGAAGAATACCAGCAATCCTCCTAGCTCTACCCAATCTATTGAAGTAGGCAGTTTAGGCCCAGAATTTGGCACTTCAGGATCAAACCTCGAAGTGCCTTTAAAGTGCTAATTTTCAGTTTCATATCTCCTAAAAGCTCTTTCATACTCTTGAGCAGTTTCTAGTATTAAATATGTACTATTCCACCTTGTACAAACATCCAATACTAGATTCTTAGAGCTACCACACTTTTCAATTTCAGCATATTTTTTAAAACTTGCCAATCTTTTAGGAGACTGACTAATATACTTAATTGTAGCCTAATCCTATCAACAGACTTACCTATATATGCCAAACCATCTTTAACAACCAGATTCATCACGAGACATACAACGAACATGCAACCATTTAGCACCAACACACAGTTTTCTCGGTGAGCAAATTGTTCTTTCAATTACTCAATGGTAGAATCATTAGAAGAAGCATTATCAACAGTTATGGAAAACACATTTTCATTTTCAATTTCCCAATCCAACAAACAATTCTCAATTACAACCTCGATATCTAAACCCTTATGACTTGTAATAGGCACGAAACTTAAAATTTTCTTTTTCAAAGTCCAATTATTATCTACATAATACCCAATCAAACACATATAATTAATTTACTGCAAAGAAGTCCAAGTATCTGCTGTGAAGCAGATTCTACTAACATTTCCTTTCAGCTCAACTTTTAGTTTTTTTCCTATAAGATAAATACAGTTTATAACATTCATCAGCCACTGATTTCCTACCATTAGGCACAAACTGTGGCTACAATTTCCTAAGAAAATATCTAAACCCTTTCTTGTCAAAAAACCTAAATGGCAGTTCATTAAGAATTATCATGCAAATCATTGCCCTAATTATTTCTTCTTCATTATACCTCTAAGTTCCTACACTCGAAGGTTTTCCCTCTCCAGTTTCAATAACTAACTTAATCTAAGCAGGATCATAGTTCAGAGATAAGTACTTTTTACAAACCTGCAAATGTGCTTGAAGACTACTAGTCCCATGTTTTTTACTATCAGCCATATAAGAATTATCACAGTACTTACACTCAGCCCATAACACACCTTTAGCATCTCTATGAGTAGTGAAGTGAATCCATACCAGAGAGTGCTTACGAGTTATCATGCACTGCTTCGAGGGCTTTGGAACAATAGCAACTTTAGCTTCAGGGCTTGGCCCTTCACCTATTCCTCGATCTTCAATCTCTACATCAACATCTACCATCACTCCTTTATCATTGGGCAAATCCAGCAGAGGAGGAGGCAGTGAACCTTTCTCGAGTTCAATCTCCTCAATATCGTCATCAAAATCAGAATCTAGTTCTGACATCTACACAAAAAAAAAAGAAACATTTTAGTACTCACTTTCAAAACAGCCAGCCAAAAATAGAGAAACATGTCAGTTAATAATTGACAGTCCTGCATACAACTTCTCCAAAAGACCCAAATACTAAAACATCATAAACATCAAGGCATGATCTCTGATACATATGGCAGTACTCAATTTCAAACATTTCAATCACAAAGTGAATCAGTGATATCATATTAGTATTGACAGTCACAACCAGGTAATAAACATTCAAAACAGTTGCCACCAAGTAAAAAAACTGGAAGCAATCTAGGATCATAGTTAACACAAATACCAATGAGCATCACATCATCATCTGAATCATTAACCACCATACCTAAACAGAGAACAAGAAAAATTGGGCAGACATTTGTACAACTAAATTTAGAGAAATTAAGAGTAAGAGGAAAAAGTTCATAGGTAAGAACTTCAACAATTACAGTATACGCAGCTACTCCAACACACTAAAACAGCATACACAGGTAACGCATCAGCACGTGATATTTGATACATAGATGCCATTACAATTTACAAAAAGTAATCAGCACATTAAGCACAATAACACCAATTACAGTATTAAACCACAGAAGAACACACAACAACTGAACACTTTCAAAACACTGAAACAGCCAGCCAAAAACGGATAAATGGTCAAAAAAATCTTACCTTGAAGATAGTAAAAGTCTCAAACTTTAATTCTCAGTCCTGTATTAATAAAAGAAAACAAAAACAATCAATAATGATTTATAGTGGCCTAAGATAACCCCGTCAACTTGATAAACACTTAAATAGTAGCCTAATGGCTGATGAATTTGCCCACAAAACAATAAAAGAAGTATCTTAAAACAGAAACACAAACCAAGTCAACAAGTCTCCTCCTCCTGCATTTAAAGAAAACACAAACCAAAACTATCAGTAAATTAGTAACAGACTAACAGTTGAAGGAAAACTCTCAAATAACTTATATATCAAGAAAAAAATTGAAGAGAAAAAACGTTATTCGTTTTTTACCTACAACCTTGACGATTTGGGGAAACTGTGAGTGGAGGATGAGTTGGGTGAGGTCACTTCGAATCAGAATTCACATAGCAGCAACATCTTTATTCTCTAAACTCTCGGATGAATCGACTTTTTTTTTTAAAAAAATTCTAATTTGAGAACTTGGAAACAGTGAAACCCTAAATCTGGTTTTGGGTTTGATTGGTGGTAGATTGGTCGATTAACAGGGTTGTGGAGGTGGGAAATGAGAGGAGGATTCATGGAGGTGGATGAATCGAATCAATCGACCAGAAAAAGCCCCAATTTGGGAACTCTAAATGAAACCCTAGGAATGGTTTTGAGTTGGATTTGGTCGATTAACTGGGCTATGGGGGTGAGGAGTGGGAGGAGGAGTCGTGGAGGTGAATGTGGAGGTGGGTTTGTGGTGAGAAATGCCGCGGCATATGGTTAGAGTCGACGGCGCGACAAAGGTCGAAGAAGAAGGAGATAACGAAGGAAGAAGAAGAAAGAAAATGAAAATCTGAAAAAAAAAATGAGAAGGCCCTATATATATTTAATAAATAAAATAATAAAAAATTAAATTATTCGGATAAATCGGGTAGTCCCAAAAAACATATATGAAAACTGACCCTGAACCGTATTAGCTAATCGATTAATCGGGTGGAATCGAAATTCCCTCAATTAAGTCGATTAGCCGACCCGATTTGTCCGAATTCAGTTCAGGTCGGGCGGTTGGCCAGATACAGCCGATTAACGCACAATCCTACTGAGATTAAATAGTAATAAGACATAAAGATCAAGAGACGTTTTAGATAGAAATAGTTAAGATGATCATTGACATAATTTGACTCTAAAGTACTTTTGTAATACCTAAAATTTTGGAAAATCACTGCTCACTCTCTAGTCATAACATGAACGTTCAAGCCCCCAAAACAGTCTTTAGTCGCCAACTCCCTAGCCAATATTGAAGCGATACTATTTTTTTTTTTTTTTTTGGTTTTCTTTGTTCGTCTTTCAACATACGAAATAGATGTTCTGCGCATCAAGTTAGAGAAAATATCTATTTTCTTCGGCTAGCTCCCGATGGATAATCAAAGCATTGTGACATTGGTATAAGGACTTGATGATAATATTTTTTTGCATATATAGAAAATTGTATCAGGTAGACTATTTGGGAATAGATACTCCTTTTTTTTTTAAAAAACAATTTGAAATTAATTGAGGCATTTATTAGGCGATTACGAATGATTATCTGGTGTTTTTTCACGGATATTAGTTCCGGGGGTTGATATATCGCCTTTCATGAAACCGTAAATATTATAGAATATGGTTATAGTTTATCTGCCACAAATTGTACGTATTAATTTAATGTTTTAAATTATTACCTCATTCATTGAACATTGAAAAGTAATAGCTACTCATTAAAATAAAAAATCTCCAAAAAATAAGAAAAAAACAACTAAAGGTCAAGTCGCACTTAATTTATTAAGAAATGAATTAAAAATGAAAAACTTTGCCCTAAAACTGAAGCACAAGCACACAAGGTACATGATGATGCATTTCTCTTTCGACCAAAAAAGAGAATAATGATTTGGTGATTGTTATGAATGTGCTATGTTACGGGACACAAAGAGTTGATTCTCATTAATTACACTGTAAAGCCTAAACCTAGCTAAATGGATTCATTTGTCTCGTTTTATTGGTTTTTATAAGGTCAGAGAGATTATGAAAAGAGATAATCTGAAAAAACACTCTACTCGGTTCCTTATCTTGTTTCTTTTTAGTTATTTATTTAATAAAATTACGAAATAAGTATCGAAATAAATTGACAACGAGGTACAATATAGTTGTAAGACGCTTCACTTATTAATTAATAAGTCCTAGGTTCGAGTCAGATTTGGGATAAGTGGGAAATCATTGTTTATCCTTTTTTTTTTTTTTAAAAAAAAAGTACCGAAATAAATTATGGTAAAAATTATCGAACCGTCGTAAATCAAGAAAAAATGTGTTTTTATACAGTACTACATTTTACCACCGAGACAAGTCATGATTCCGAGAACTAAGTAGTAAGCCAATATATTATGTTGGTGACAAATTGAAAATGCATTTGCATAGATAGCTTGTTTCTTAAGTTTATTCTTCTTTTTATCCACCATGCACCTTCAATGGATCTCAAAACTTTTGCATTTATTCTTTGAACTTTGAAGCCCTTCCCTTCTAAACGGGACCCCCAGAATTACTGCAGGTCACTGCTTCGAGCTATCGAGTTAGCCAATCTTTTCCTTTCTACATCGAGCAGTATTTGTGTGTTGTCCATTCTTTTTTCCAATTACGGACCACCGAATAATTAATACTACTACTAGTAATAGATCCACTTCTCTCAGTTGGTCCATTCTTTGAATTTGATCGTTTGGTACCCCAAGAATTTGGAACTAAAAGCAGGCTATTTAGTCAATACTCTGGATAAGGGACCAACGGGTTTGGCCCCATTCGCCATTTGCCCATTTGCGTAGTCCCTCTCCACAAGGCTGTTCTTTTCAAGAAAACTGGCGATCTGAACTGAACCGTTATTTCGGATCGTTTCGAAAATGGGACAATTTTCTTTCAGATCATTATCGGTTCGGTTCGGTTTGGGTTATGTTTCGGGTTTGAACTGAATTGACCCGAAACGAACTATTTCGCTCATGATGATGTCATCAAAAGAGACTATGACATCATCATGCGAGAGCCGGTCACCGGTAGTCGGAAAACATAAAATTTCCAATGACTTTGCCGAAATTTTCATCGGCAATTGTATTGGTGGCGGCTGACAACTGTGGTCAAAGGTTGTCACCAGCGGTCAACGACGATATTATTAAATTATTTTTTTGAGTTTCGGTTTTATCGGTTCAATTTGAATATTCGTTTGACCTGAACCGATCCGAACCGTTTCACCTTTTAAAATCTTTGATCCGAACTGAAATTAATTTTGGTTCGGTTCGGGTCGACCCGAACCGTGGTTCAAAATGACCAGCCCTACCTCTTCATTTCAATACAACAATTAATTACTACGTGGAAATTATATATTAATAATGTAGTTTGAACCTACCACATTAAAATATTAAATCAACCAGATTATTTTCGCTTAAGGATAATTTCTTAAAAATTTAAAATGATATGCAGTAGATAACAATACTTATTTTGATTTTTTTTTTTAAAAATTTTGGTACCAAAAAAAAGAGCTTATCTTTTTTTTTTTTTTCTTTAAAAAAAAGAGCTTATCTTGTTAAAAGAAAATGTCATTAATTTCGACCAAAAAAAAAATGTCATTAATTTTTGCAAAAGTATGTTCTTTACTTCTTTTTTCTTTTATCATCGCGAAATTATATTTGTCAAAAATCAGTAGTTTTCTCAATGTGGGTAAGTGAAGGGATATAAGCTGCAGATTGTCTTTTATATGTCATCAGTTCGAGTCTAATTATCCTTAAATCCAACTTTGAAAATTTTTCTATCTACTTTTGTCCCCCCATTGTGATTTAATGAGAGTAGATAAAAGGCTGGCTTGTGGGGGTTGACGTGAAGGGTGCGGATGGCTATATTTATGCATGAGAGCGAACTTGATATATACCATACAGATGAACCGATCTGTATAATACAATTAGACAATGTCACAATGTAAATTATCTTAGAATGGCCGTGTACTTATGATAATTCCTTTTTTCGACTTTCATATGATGGGGATAAGGATAAGAAGTGAACTTAATTCTCAAATTTTTAATGCTTGATTTGATCCGGGTATGCAATTGAACTAGAAAATAATAGCAAATATCTTAATTATATTTTTAGCAAAAATGCATGGATTGATAGCTAGGGGACCAAATATAACACTGACGAAGGGTACATTTTGAATTGTCAATATTTCATTTCACTTTGCATCATTGCTAATATTCGATTATAGCTATTACTTAGTATCTCGGATAAACTGTTAGATTTTGATTATGGAG